CCATTTGAATGCAAAATTACTTATTTTTTTATTGATGTACTTTTACATCTTATTATCAATGTAAATATGCATTAATCTGTCATTTGTCAATTCATAAATGTAATGTTGCCAAACACAAGCAAAAGTGAATTATAGTGCAAATTTACCCTGAACCGGGATTTACACTCCATTTGCATCGTTTCCAAACACAGCCAAAGGGATTAAGGGGTGGAGACGGAGCTCGGTGCAAGGGACCACGCCTCCATTTTAGGAGGATACCTAGTGACCATCTCAACAGCCCTTCATTCTTACCAAGTTGTAGTTTTTTTTAAAAGTCTCAGCTTGGAAGGAGTAAAAATACAAATATGTACAATATAAATAAATACAAAATAATATAAAATATAAGGTTTTGCACTCTGCATATTTGTATTTGTACTCCTTCCAAACTGAGCATAAGTTTTACTGGTTTTAGAAGGCAATCCCCTCGCCCATTTGAAATGGCATTGAGTAACCATATCAACTTTTGGATCATTGGTAAATTATTTTTAATGTCCAATTTTTTTTGATAAATTGTTGTTCATTCTATTAATAGATTAAATAATTTAGGCCTTATTTGTTTCATGGATTTTGGAAAGGGGGAAAGTTGGTCAATGGGATTTTGATTCCCATTAACCAACTCTCCAATGTTCTTTTCCAAGATTTAGGTGGGACCCATAGTAAATGCCTTTCCCTTGAGTATCACTTACTTGGGAAAGTGTTACCCATCTCCCACTTGGGAAAGTTTACCAAGAGTAAATGCTCAAAATATAATATGTCAAAAATGCCCATTAAAAAAATATAATTCAAAAAGCATGGACCTAGATCCAAGGGTAAAAATGACAAAACATAGAAAAATTAACCACTTACCTGGGAAAGTGGGTGAGGCAAAAGAACACGGGGAAATTGAAAAGGCCTCATTTACCTGGATAAATTTAACAAAAAAGAACATAGGTAAATATACTTACCCAGGTAAATGTTTCTTGGGAAACACTTACCCGGGTAAATGCTTCTTTGTAAACAAACAAAGCCTTAAAGGGTTCGATTATGATACCAGAAAAACATCAAATGATATAAATGTATTAATCAATCAAACAGTATTTATTAAAATTCATGAATGGGTTTGATTGGTCAAATCTCTTTTTGAAGCAATCTCTTTCCAGCATTATAGATTTTTCTTAATTTCAAGTACATTGAGATTGGACTCGAGTTTAGTTTTTTTTTTTTTTTTTAATTTAACAAATTCTCAACCCATTTTGATGCACCAGAAAATGCCAAAAAAAAAAAAATTGAGAAGGGGCGTTTGAGTGGGGTTTTTTTGTCACTAAATCTGTAAAAAGACAATATGCACTTATGCAACACTTGTGCAACAGGGTTCGATTACAATGCTTTTTTTCTTGAAGTGCGTCGATTATGATGGCTGATGCTTTGGCCTTTTTGGCGTGTATATTGGCTGATGATTAGCCACTTCAGTTCCCGTGGGACTTTTTCCCTAGAGTTCAAACAAAGTGAAATTATGATTCGGAATAATTCTGCATTTGGATGCATTTTTGCTCTCTTTTTAAAAAAAGATTCCATCATTTTGCTATTTTTGGTTTTATAGAAATTAAGAAGAAGCACAAAATTGAGGACAAATTATTAAAGAATTTTACAAAATTTGTGAAGAATATTTCTTAAATCTTCTGTTTTTCTCATTTTTTCTGTCAAATCAAACATAACCTAAAAATACAATAAAAAAGGAAATATAAGAAATTTATACCGCAAAATAAAAAAAAAAATTCACAAAACACACATTAATATATACCATGTGCAGCACAAATGCCCATTTCCCTGTTTTAATAAAAATGTTATTGGTTTAATACTTGGAATCAAATAAAAATTCAAAATTAAAATGTTGACAGGAAATGGCATTTTTTCTAGGGAAGTCTTACATTGTACATTGGTAAGAGCTAATGGCGGTGATGTGGGCTCCATGGCCATAGAACCTCCCTTCAAGGCACAAAAAGGACAAAGTATAGATGGTTGTGTTTGTTCTAATAAATGGGGCTACAATGATGTTACATGTTGTGATTTGTGGGGCAAAAGGGCTACACAAGAAAGGCTAGTCCACTCCAAATCCCCAAGCCCCATAAATCCTGATGGTTGGATTCAATCCCAAGTCTCGAGATTTTACCAACAATCCATTTGTCACATCTCTCTCTTGATTGAAAGCTTTTTTTGTATTAATATTGTTCACCCATGTCATTAAAATTGCATATATTTGTAAAAAATAGTTAAGAGAGAGGAGAATGACTAATCAGCCCAGTTCAGAATTCTTTAGCTCCACTTTATATGGGGATAAATCCTAACTGTGGATTGATGCCAATTCTATAATCAGGATGCCGTTTATAGGTGGGTTGTAATTTAGAATTGTGCAATGAGCTGTAGAGTACTTTTCCCATAAGAGATTAATCAATAATGAACTTTTAATCAAATCGTGCACGTAGGGGGCTTAGCTTTTGTAGTCGTGTTGCGGTGAAAATGAGATTTGCACAGGTGTAAATTAATAAGAGTGCAAGTAGGGTGCCTAAATTGTGATATATGTTTTGTTTCACATTGATTTTGTCTGATTTGTTTGTGATAAATAAGTAGGAAGCCAAATGATGTGGTGTCTACCTTATATGAAAAAGAATGAAGGTAGGAAGAGTATTTGTTTAAGATTCGTTTAGGATTGAGTAGAAGAAAGATGATGCGGCCTTCATTTTACATGAGAGATGAGTGATATAAGAGGAAGGTGGTGCAAATTTTGCACCTCAAATGAGTGCAAATGAGGCAAAAGGTACAAATTTTACACCAAATAAGAGTGCAAATTATAAGTACAAATAAATAGATGCAAGAATTTTATTTGGTTGAACTGTCTTGGTGGAACAACTGGGTTAACCCATTGCAACCTGGGTAAGTTCAAATCTTTGAGCCAGCCTCTTTGTATGTGCATGGGTAAGGTTGTATACATCTATCCCTCTTTAAGCCGAGATCAACTTCAGTGCTTACAAGATCATGCTCACACCGTTTGTATAATAACATTTTACAGCTGTGCATTAGGAATATCTACGTATTTGTATGTTTTTTTTTCATGGGAACATATTCCCAATGCAAGGATGCAAAAGACTGGGAATGGTCTTGTGAGGACCACATCTGATTTTCCTTAAATCTAAGGTGTATAATAAAACCCAAATCAATGAATAATTAATATTTGAATATTGAGTAAATGTCAAGATACTACTAGATAGCTTTCCAAAACTTGACTGAGTAATGTTTGCAATCAAGCACTTTGGCACTTTGGAGTCTAAGATACCGATCTAGATTAATTCTTTTAAGATTAAAATGAAAAAAGTTGATTATAACTGATAAGCCTCGTACAAACTTGTCCAAAGAACCATGCATTTGTTTCACTTTTTTTCTCTTTAATTTCAGACTTTTGTTAAGCAACATGTAGCCTCCTATTCTTTCCTTCTTCCTCTTTCTTCATCGAAGAGTTTTGTTTCTTTTTTTTTTAGGCTCAGTTTGGAAGGAGTACAAATACAAATATGCATGTGTAAAGTGCAAAACCTTGTATTTTGTATATACTTGTATTATACATATTTGTATTTATACTCTATCCAAACCAAGCCTTAGAAATCTTCATAGAAGAGTTTGATGATATACCTACAAGCCTCGTTAAACCAAGGAAACTACACTATAAGATTAAAAAAAAAATCACATATGGGGGCATATTGTATTAAATTGGCCCCACCCATATATGTTAAATATAAAAAGATTTTATATTTTTAATATTTGCATGGATAGGCCTTGTTAAGACCAGGCCTCTAAAGGGGAAGCATGTGGTTCAAAATCAGGGTGTATCAATACTTTGAACCATATTACAATATGCCAAGGCTAAAAATACTGACAAGCACACGATACCAAAAAAAAAAAAAAGTAACATCACATATCTTATGTTTTGGTAAGTGGCTAATAAAGATGATTTTTGACATCTGAAACATTCAAACCCTTAAACTCTTAATATGTCGACCATCAACCACCTTTGACATTGATAAGATACACACGATACAATGTGATATGTATTAATATTTAATAACCATTGTTGAATGTTAACTGAATTGTGGGTCTTTTTTTATGAATCAAACCAATATTTTAGTTTTTGGAAAATAAAAACTAGAATAGAATCGAAAACCAATTGATTAACTGATTGAGTGGTTTGATTTTTGACCAATTTGGTTATTTGTTTTTTTATTTTTTGAATTTATAATATATATTATCAATAGATATATAATTATATAATATAAATACTGAAAATATATAGAATGTTATAAATTATAAATAATATTATATATATATATATATAAAATACACGATCAGTTCTGGCTAACTGTCAATTTTTCATATTTGTTAATCGAAACCGAACAATACCTTCAGTTTTTCCAAAAACGTCGAACTGAAATCAAACCAATCAATTCGGTTAACCAATTTTTTGATTCAATTTGATTTTTCCGTTTTTGATGAACATTGAACACCCCTAAGTAGGCCCTAACTATATATATACTTCAAATGGATGTTGCCATATCCACAGCATCTTATTTATTTATTTATTGGAATATCCGGAGCAGCCAAACACATCTCTACAGGGTAGGCTGGGCTTACATTGGCTCAGACTGTTGCGTCAACAATCCTCACGCGCAAGTTAGCGTGTACCACCACTGAAAACAGATTTGGCCAGTTCGTTATTTCCCAGAAAATAGTCATAAGTGCCACAACTTTTTACTCTCTTCTCTTCTGTGCTACTGTGCTGTCCTCGGGGTCTCAACGCAAAATATTCTTGTTCCAGGGCGTTTTTGGGTAATTCGATGAAAACACTATCCACGTTATTATCGTCCAAGGCCCAAGCTTTCTTAGCATATCCCCCTAACTGACCAAACTACCCTTCTTTCATTTCATATGAGTTCAACGACACGATATTTTTTGCGCCATTCCACGGCCTGGTCGGAAATCGGAATCCAACATATCCTACACCCTCTCTCCTCTCTCCTCTCTCTCATACACGCAGACCGTCAGTCAGAGGTCAGACAAACGATAATTTCCATTTTCTATTATTTTATTTATAGAGCAGCTTTTCCAAGCATTTTCTTCAACCTGGCTGGCTCTCTCTCTCTCTCTGCAGGGAACTCTGTAGGCCACTGGAGTAGCTCTTAACGCTCTTTTTTTTTTTCCCGAAAAATACAAAGAAAATACTTAATGTTTCGATCTGTTGAGTTGAAAAAATTGGGGATACGTTGAAAAATTTGTCAATTTTTTGGTCTGCTTTAGATGTTCTCGGATCTTCTTTTTGAGTTTTGAGGTCTTTTGGCTCGCTGCAAATCAAACCCTAGTGTTGAAGAAAAGTAGTGGGAGTTCTTTCTGTCGGTTTTGGAACAATGAAGTCTGGAACCCGGCTTGATTCTGCAGTTTTTCAGCTCACTCCTACTCGAACCAGGTGATTCCTTCGATCAAAGATTTACGGGACTTGTTTGATCTGTTAGTTCGTTGATCGCTCCCTGTCGTATCATGGAATGTTTAAGGCTTAACAGTCATGAGTTGTTTTGGTTCTGTTCTGTCACTTGCATGGAAAATGCCTTTCTTTTTTCATCTTATCGTTTGGACGGGTGATTTGATGTTTTCTTTAGAAACTTGATGTTTCCTGTGTATTAGAATCGCCAGCTTATAAGAATAGTTCTGCTTTTATTTATTTTATGAATTTAAAATTTTAAGATCTTGGATCTTACCTTTCAATATTCTTCTTCCTTGCTTTGTTGATTTCCACCCCTTCAAATTGCAGCACGTATATTGATATTGTAAAGGATGAATTTTCTCTTTAATCCGTCAGTCATTTTTGAGTTTAATTAGTGAGCGATGTATTTTTTGTAAGCTTGAATGTCTTTGCATTGGATGATTGGGTTCAGGTGGTCAGTATTTTCTATGCTTTTCATTTTTGATGTGATTTGTGTGTTCGCAATGCTTCTTGTTCATAAACGTCCTGATCAGGATTTAATTATTTACTTATTAACTTAAAGATAGAAAAAAATTCATTGGGTGTATTGTATTGTTGTGCCACAATTAGCTAGAGAACCAGTTGTCATTAGCATCAGCTAATGTGGGTTTTCGTGCATTTAGAGATCATGACTAAAGGGTTTAAATCTTATGGAGATTTTCAGTTCTAATTTAAATACTTATTATTTTAGTTTATTGACTGATGCATTCAGGTTTGAGGTCCCATCTGGTTGTTACATATTCAGATTCAGATATTTCTTGCAGAAACATTCATTGATCTTTTTGGCTTTCTCATTCTCCTCTTTAGAACTAATTTTGTAGTTAAATATTTGTGCTTTTTTTGCTTTTCCTCTAACCAATATGTTTTAGGATTAACTTGATTCTGCTTTTGCAATTGATGTTTCTCTGTGATGCCAATCTAATTTGAGGAACCGCTGTCAAATTCTGTTTTATTAACTTTGCAATTAAAATATAATGTTTTTCCCTTTTTTCCCCCTTTTTTACCAGGTGCGATTTGGTTATTACTGCAAATGGAAAGACAGAGAAAATTGCTTCAGGCTTGTTGAACCCTTTTCTTGCACACTTGAAAACAGCCCAAGAGCAGATTGCCAAGGGGGGTTATTCAATTATCCTTGAACCAGATCCAGGCAGTGATTTGACGTGGTTTACAAAGGGCACGGTGGAGAGGTTGTAATTTAATGATGTTCCTTTAGTTATTGCCTTTGGTTATGTTTTCTTCTTCCTACTTTTCCCATGGTGGCTTGTAGTTTCACTTGAGGCTTTGGCTCTACAAATTGGTGTAGCTGAGGACTACTTTCCAAATTCCAAGTACTAGGCCACTTTTCTGGGAAACTTGGCCAAGTTAAAGTCAAAACCTATACCTTTATGAATAACTTACTAATCTGGTTATTCATAAAAAAAAACTTACTAATCTGGTTTTCTAAACTATAAGTTTAGATATCAAACTTTAGGAGTTTGATCTTAGTAACCTAATCCATGTATATGGGCCACCCCTCTAGCTCCAATGTGTATTCCATACTTTCACACAATATCTTCTCTTCATGTTTTGGGTAAAAGATCACATTCTTTTTATCACCATCTTTTCTTTCCCTGCCTCAAAGACTGTATAGATGATGTGCGTCCATGTAACTCCTGCCTTCCCTTTAACAAAATGAAACTATTTTATAAATCTCACTTTAGATAAATAGATACTTTGGCAACGGTAATCGTAAGTTACATCCACCACCCAAGAATCGATGATTTTGTTAACTTCTGTTGTTGTCATATTAAAAGATGTGTCCACAAAATTGCTTGAATTTACTATTCACCAGCAATAAATGTGTATTTCCAAGTTCCAAGTCCTGAACTCTTTATTCTTCAACTTATCAAAAAAAAGGTTCTTTATTCTTCAACTTATTAAAATCTCATTTCATGTTTTTAATGGTTTTAATCTGGAAAAGGTTCAATTCCATCTAGAGAATTCCAGTGCTGTCAATAAGACCTGAAAAAAAACCCATGTTGCCATCATTCTTGTCTGTAAATATGATACTGCAGAATATTCTTACTAGTAGAGCTTGTGTTGGTGTTAGTTTGAGAAGCCTAGCTTTTGGTTTTTATACATCTCCTCAATTCCCCCCTCCTGATGTAGGACCAGCTCAGTTCTAGTCCTTAGAGAATGTTGAATGGTCTTCTTGATCAGAGTTTTATGACTGTCAATGGCTGTAATGGCTTCTTGAAGGAATAAGAGAGAAAATAGGGAGAGAAAGAAGAGAGAAAATACCCGGAATCACTCACAGGGTGCCTAGAATCACTCTAGGGCATGGGAATCACTCACCGTAGCTAGCATAAGCTGAAGAAAACTCAATATGATTAATTGCCTTTGTGTAAAACGTTCATACATTTTTATAGACTCTAATAATCGTAGGAGTCAAACTGTTAAACCATAGTTTTCAAGGCGCCAAGGCGAACCTATGCGACAGGGGAGCGCTTAGTCACCACGCCTAGGTGTCACTTAATGTCTAAAAGAAAAATAAAATAAAAATGGGATAAAACCCAATTTTTGCCTTTGAAATAGAAATACAGAAGGGCAGAGCCCCTATCTTTCTTCCAGAAAAAGAAATAGACCCCTATTTTTTGTTCCAGAGAGGAGGAGGAGGAAAGAAGGAAGGGGCGGAGCCCCTGTTTTTGTTCCAAAAAAAGAAAAAGAAGGGGCGGAACCTTTGTTTTTTGTTTCAGCAGCAGCAACAACAGCAGAAGAAGAAGAAGAGGGGGAGGAGGAGGGGCGGAGCCTCTGTTTTTGTTCCAAAACAAGAAAAAGAAGAAGGGGCAAAGCCCTTATTTTTTGTTCCAGAAGAAGAAGAAGAAGAAGGAGAGGAGAGGAGGAGGAAAAAAGAAGGGGCACAGCCCCTGTTTTTGTTCCAAAACAAGAAAATAAGAAGGGGCAAAACCCCTGTTTTTTGTTCCAAAAGAAGAAGAATGAAAACTCAAAAAGCATACCTCCTGTGATCGATTTGCCTTTCTTCTTCAAAGACATACAGTTTGGAACTTGACAAGGATATCTCTTGAGCTCGTCTTCGAATATCATATCTATATCTCTTAGAACTCACATTCGTATATTTTATCTATTATAAACCTTAAAAAGATAAGAAATTAATAAAAGATTATTATAATATTGAAAGAAATAAAAATAATGATTCGGTGCATCATGTCTATATTTATATTATAGACTTAAAATATAAAAAATATTAAATGTGAAAAAATTACAACATGTTATAGATACATCATATGGCGTTTGGGTGAGGTGAGACCCAAAAAGTGCCTACACGCCTAGGCGTCACCTTGACAACTATGTGTTAGACTCATAATAGTCTTAGGAGTCAAACTGTTAGACTCAATAATCCTATTAGGACTCAAACTAAGTTGTCATATCCTATTTCAATTCAAAGAAGACTCAATAACTCTAATCCTACTTATGCAATGACTCTGAAACTTTAAACATAAACAAACTATAACTAGACAATCAAACCCTATTATTGGACCCTAGTGAAAAATTATAAAATGGCAAAAATACCCTTGGTTTTTAATTCAGTCCAAATCCCAAGTACCACCACTATGCCATATCAGGACCTGTTGTAAGGCCTTCTTTCTAGAATAAGTCTTCAAGGGTGCTGATCGATTCCTATCACCTCCCCCATCAAGTATTGAGCACAATATCTCAGAAATTCTTTTGTAGAAACACTGGGTTTGTAGAATTTTTACTTGCATCTATGATGTTGTACAGTAAGTTTGTAACATTGACAAGAACCAATTGACCATAGATCCCTAATTCCCAAACCTTGTTTGGATCTGGGTAATCAAACTGATTAAATTGGCTTTATACTATTGATAAATAAAAGGGGGTTTAATAGTGAGTCTGGATCTGGGTAATCAAGATTCTAGAGTTTGAATCCTCAGCTCTTCTGGTTCCTTCTCTTGTGTCTCCCTTTTTGCTGGTCTCTCTCTCTCTGGTCTGTCCTTAGACCCTTCCTTTAGCTCTAGTTGTCCCGTTGAAGCCATTTGGCAAGGTTTGACACCACCTAGGATATGAGCTTTTTGTTGGGAGGTTTACCACAACAAAATCAATACTATTGGGACCTTGCAATGGAAAAGGCCTTCTTGGTGTCTATCTCTTCATGTTTTCCTGATGTGGAAAGCTAGTTGTGAGGAATCCTTTCACCTGCTATTCTCGTGCAACTTTGTATCTGCTATTTGGGAGCATTTTTCTCATTTTTGGGTGCAGGTGGTTGCCTCCCGATGATCTTAAACATTTGCTTGATGCTTCATTTTTCTTCCCCTCAAAAAAGAGAGGCAGAGTGTTGTGGAGGTGCCTTAGATTTGCCACATTATGGTGTGTGTGGGAGGGAAGGAATGCCCATACCTTCAACAATAAGGAAAATGATTGAAGTGGTGCATTTGGTTAAAACTCTGGAGCTCTTTGATTCCTTTTCGAATGATGACATTACAAGAAATTGGAAAGAAGTTGCTGAATCTGCCCCAAACAGGTTATTATTAGTACAAGTGCAGTGGAGCCCACCACAACCACTACAGTACAAGCCGGACTTTGATGGTTGCAATTTAGGTAACCCAGGTCCATCAGGTATAGGAGGGGTAATCAGAAACCATCTGGGGGATATTATGATTATGTACTTGGAAGATGTAAGTCTTGTATTTTTTTTTTTGTCATGGGGTGATCCCCCATCACCGACTTTGGATGTAATCTGTTTTTTATTAAATAAAATTTTCCTTTTTATTTATTACAAAAAATGATTATGTATTCGCCTATTTGGGTCCTTTCGGTGTTGGGGATTTAATCAGAGCAGAACTGAAGGCTGCTTTGGTGGGGCTGAAAAAGGCTAAAGTGATGAGGTACACACAATCTAATAGTTGAAGGAGACTCTAAGGTCAAACAGTTTGGTTGAAAAACAACGAGGAGGGACCATGGAGACATAGATATGAAATAAGAGAAGCTAAAGAGAGAATAAGGGAATTAGGAGGTGTCATATAGTGAACACCTGGAATGCTAATGGTCTTGCAGATGGGTGGCTAAACAGGGGTAATGTGAAACTCTATGTACTTGGGGATTATAGAACAGGAGGGGTGTTGTACTTGATAATATGTTCTGCTTGGTTGGTTAGAGGCTGACCATCCTATGTACACTCTCTGTCTTTCTAATCAATAAAATTTGTCATTGTTACTGATAAAAAAATGGAATAGGGAAATGGGATAGGCTTTGTTGAGCTTAGGCTATTGTCAGTGGGTCACTGTTGATCCCACCACATAATCTGATGATGTTGTGTGCTGAAACCAGCATTGAACTACCATTTCATCCAAGTTCAATAATAAAAAAGAATCTGCTTATTTTTTAGTTAAAAAGCATGACTTATTCTTGCTTTTGTACTATTAAATGGTAAAGTGTTAGCTTCTGAGCAAAGTGCATGATGTTTCTGGGTGGTGTGTTTTGTCTCTTAGGTTTGTTCGTTTTGTGAGCACTCCAGAGGTCCTGGAACGGGTTCACACCATAGAATCTGAGATTTCACAAATTGAAGAAGCTATTGCTATACAAAGCAATGACAATCTAGGACTCAGCACTGTAAGTGAATAAAAACATGGTATCATAATTGCTTGATAATTGTGTTTCATATTGGCCATTTTGAACTTTTTACTCCTCTGGCAGGTAGAAGACCATCAGATGAGATCCATGGAAAGCATTGAAGGTACTAAGAAGGGGAGAAGGATTAACGAAAATACTCATAATGGGCCATTTGCTGATTTACATTTTAGTTCTTTGTCATCGGCTTTTTTTTTTTTTTGGGGGGGGGGGGGGGAGTACATGTGGTGTTCTGGCCCCCTAATGGGCAGGGTGCTACGTGTTAGTGGTGTTAGGGATGCATGTGCGGGCTCACTGGCATGGCATTCACTGTGCTTAGATCCTGCCCTTCCATGGGTTTGAACATGCACCTCTTCAAACAGAGGGATGCCAAATGACCAAATTGACTAGTGGGTCATTGGCTTTGTCATTAGGTTGATCCCTTCCCTAGCTTTCGACTTTTGAAATCTCTGAGAGATCAGTTGAAATTTGTTTGTCATCCTCTTACATTGTTATGTCTATATTGCCATTGTTTTGGTTTTACAATTGGAGGAAATTCTGCACTATTGTGTTATGGACTTCAATGACAAGGTCACTATTAAATTATGTTCTTTGGTTTTGGTTTTCTTTTTATTGACAGCCAAACATAACGTTCTCTGTAAATATTGATCATTACATTGTTGTTACTGGTCATGTATTATGGTTTTGGACAGGTCCCAAGCCTGTAGCTGATGCTGATTCAGAGAAGGCTATTATCCTTTACAAGGTAGTTCCACACTGTTTGATGCCATTGGATAAAAATTTTTGTTAACATTTTCTAAAGTTGAATGGTTTCCTTATGGCAGCCTGGGCAGCATCCACCTGAATCAAATGGATCCACCACACAGGAGGAAAATTCAAAGTAAATGCTGGTTCTACTATGAGTAACAAAATCATTTTTGCAAACTTTGTTTTTACTTGTATGTTTAGGGCTTATATAAGGGTGATTGCAGTCTTTCATCTTCTGATGGCTTCAGACCCTAGCATGATGAAATCTTTCATCTTTTTCCTGTAGCCCTAAACTATGAAAAGTGGAACTTTATTCAGATAATAACATGAAGTCAATAATGCAACTCTCTCTTGCTCTCCCTCCCTCCCCCTCATGTTGGAAAAAATGCCCTTAGTCTATGTCTATTCTCAGTCTTACTTCATATTCCATTCAATTGTAAATATGTGACTATTTATTGGGTTCATCAGGATTCTACCGTGTCTGGAACTGCATATCCATTTCTTTAAGTGGTTATCTCCATGCATTATATGTTTATAATTGTATAGCTAGATCCTGAGGATTTTGCATATAAAAAAGACTTATGTGATCATACTCTGGATTAGAAGAAACAGTACCATAGAAGCTTGGAAGAACACACTGTAAGGGAGATAAACAAGTTTGCATCAAAGTTGGGCACAACTTAGAAATGGATACCATTTTCAGCCAACAATTTAGTTGATGGATTGGCAAAAGCTGGAGAGAATAGAAATCAGTTGTACTGGGGTTTAACCCCTTAAAGGGAACTTGTAATATTGCTGTGGTGGCTAGCTGATGCTAACTGACTAACTGCTTTCTGTTCTTAATGGAGTTTTCTTCCACATGGGGGGCGAGGTAGATAATGTATGCCATCTCAATGGCAAATGATTCTCCGTGGACCATGATGGCCAAAGGGATGGTTATCTTATGCTCATTAACCCCATGTTAATGCACATTTTGTAGAACAGGAAAGAGAAAGCGCAGTCCTTTCTGCACCCTTTGTCAAAATGTGGCTGTCTTACATGAAGTGAGATTGTAGAAAAAATGGATCATTTTGGGGATAAATGGTGTAATTGGATAAGAGGATGCTTAAACTCTTGTCGTTATTCAGTGTTGGTGAATGGGGTGGTTAAGGACTTTTTTTCCAGCCAATAGAGGCTTAAGACAAGGGGATCCACTCTCCCCTTACCTCTTTACACTTGTTTCTGATGTCTTTAGTAGGATGATCTCTAAAGCAAATGAGGAGGGCCAAATAAAGGGATGGAGAATAGGGAGCAGAGGCATTCCAATAACTCACCTTTAGTTTGC